TGGTCTTTTACCCTTCTGAGGGTGCCAAGAGAGGGTTGAGTCTAGTCCTGAGAGTTATATTTATGAGAGTATTACTTTATGTGATTAGGTGGAGGCTAGATCGTATTTCTACCAAGTCAGAGATTTACCGAGACATCTGAGGTGAGTCTTCTCACTATACTTTACCTTCAGTGGTAATTAGAGTCATGTGATAGAGTTATTGTATGCTATTTATGTGATGTGTTGCACTGCATTATTTCTATGTGATTTATGCCATGTGTATATCAGAGTATATCAGAGATAGAACAGGGAGGTTCCCAGAGCTAGGACCAGAGGGTCCACAGAGTTAGGGCCCTAGGGCCCACAGAGTTATAGCCTCGAGTGGCTAATATGTGTTATGTATGGTATTTTGGGGAACTCACTAAGCTTTATGCTTACAGTGTTATGTGTTATGTGTTTCAGGTACCAATGACGATCGCGGGAAGGCGCCGGCATGATTCGTACACACGCATGGGATTTATGTATTTTGATCTTGGGAAATATTTTGTGAAACAAAGTTATGATACAATGGGATTTTGTTAATAAATGTGTTGTGGAAAATGTGTTTTAAAATGAAAAAATTTTGTTTTAAATTTTACGGTGTTACAAAGGGTTGTCATGTAGGGATTGAGGAGTCACGGAGAGCTGACTTTCACACCAAGGACAGTATAGACACTACACGACTTCGAGATGATTTACCTTCCAGTTGGGGTGGGTCTAAGGCCACAATGTCGACCCACCAACAAGAGTAATTGATAGACAATTGTTTTTGTGATAACTATCTTGGTATGCTTATGTGATATGCTTATGAGATATGATTATGTGATATACTTATGAGACATGCTTATGTGATGTACTATATGAGTTAGTGGTAGTAGCAGGGAGTAGTTTTTTCCCTGACTCGGTCATTAAGACCGAAGGGTAGGTTAGTACCCCAGATATGCCTGACCGTATGATTATATTTGTGTTTTATGATAGAGGTAGGGTGAAATAGTCCCCGTTGCCGGTTGATATAGACCGGAGCGTAGTTGGCACCCCAAAACGGTCCGACATGGGTAGGTCAGCACCCCAGAATGGCTTGACATGGGTAGGCCGGGAACCCCAGAATTGTGCGGCAGTATGCATGCTATGTGATTGTATGGTATGTGGTATGATGGGGGAACTCACTAAGCTTTGTTCTTGAAGTTTCAGTTTTGGTTTCAGGTACCTCTTCGTCTAAATGGAAAGAGTCGACGGTGTAGCAGCGATCACACACATATGGTTTCCACATGGAATTTTGTGGGATTTTACTATGATTTTCATTACTTTTGATGATATGGTTTTCAGACATGTTGTTGTGGTTTTTTTATAAATTGATATGACATTGGCAATTTTTGGTAAAATATTTTATGAATCTCTTAATTAAAAATGAAATATTTGGCCTCGAAATTTGGGATGTTACACAAAAGGTGGGAATGCCTGATCTGAGGTCCCTTGGTCCTTTAGTAGCATAAAAATGGAAGATTGATGGGAGATTTGGCCTCACGCATGGGTTAAAGACCTTAAAAAGCTCTTAATGGAGAAGTTGGGTGTGTATAAGACATGCAAAGGCATAAAGTTGCCAACTTTATGCCTTAGGACATCTTTTCAGACTTAGATCTGGCTTTTGGACGTAAAGGAAATGAGTATTAAGCACTTAATGGAGAAAGTGCTCAAACTGGTTGTACGTTGGCCATAACCCAGTGTACACCGCGCGTAGTCCCATGTCCCATTATGTCGCGTGTGCTAGGATGGTACGCCAAGCGTACGCAGTGCAGATGGGTCGAATCTGTTTTGGGCCTCATTAGATTATTAGGCATGGTGTATTTTGCAAATTATGGAGTATTTTATCTGTTATGGGCCGTGGATATACTAGTTGGGGCTTATTTGGCCAAGAGGCCCATTAGTAATTGTGGAATTGGATTTTAGGCCCAATAGCAAGGGAAGGATAATTGGGCCTCATGGATGAGTTTGGAGTCACTACTAGAAAAACAGCCTTTTACGACGCGAATGTGTGTCGTTAAACGCTCAAACGACGCGCAAATGCATGTCAAGGAAGGCCCTATCATAACGAGAGACGACACGCTTTTGCGCGTCGTCTAAAGATGACGCGCATTTACGACGTGCAGTTACGACACACATTTACGACGCTCATTTACGACACGCAATGCGTATCAAGGAAGGCCTTGTCATAAAGGAAGATGACACACATTTAGGTGTCGTAACCTTACGACTCGCATTGTGTATCATTAAAACCTCGTCAAGAAAGGCCATGTCATAAATGAATATGACACACGTTTTTGCGTACCGTAATTTTAAATGTTTAAAAAAATATTGTTTATAGTTTTACTAATTTTCAAATTAAATTTGCTTTTAATGTCCCATAATAGAAAATAAAACATCATATACAAAAAATATAATGCATTACATAAAATTTAATGTCATACAAATAATTGTTTCATGGAAAAATTAAAAAAAAATCAATAGAAGTTGTAACATAAATTTACAAACTAATAGTTCTAATAACCTAATGTGTGCCTCACTATAAACAATATTTGTGATAATTTTTTAAATATGTCCCTCATTTGTCTCCACTCTTCCTTAATAACACCACTCAAGGACTCTAAATCTATGAACGTGCTCATATTATCTATAATGCATGGAAAAAAAAACCCTACAAAATAAGTGTGAAGATGGATTATTACAGTGTAAGAGAAATAAAGAACCTTGAGCTTCCTCAAATGGGATACATGGGTAGTCAGACTTGATACAGGCTTCCAGTAAATTTATATAATTTTTATTAAAGTCTTTCTTCAGCTGCAAAACCCTCCATCATATATACAGTGTCCTTCCAATGCTTCCTTGGCTACAATAGTTGTCTGAACATCTGAAATTTATAATTTTTTTTTAACATTTTACAAAATTATATTATATATAATAAGCTTCTCAAAAACTGCAAAATAAAAGAAAAGAAGGTTAATTGGTTAAAGGTAAAACAGAGCAGAAGTAATTCAACATTTATAAATAATTAAACACAAATAAAAATTTTACTTGAATGATAAGTTAAAAATTATAAAATAGAGTTGACCTCTGGGCTGTGGTGAGGAAACATTAGCATTATTTTTTTTTTTATCATTTTTTAGCTTATTAAGCTTATTTACACTTTAATGAATAGATTGAAAATGAATTCGTTGCTTTCTTTCATATTGATCAAAAACTACCTCAATAGATCTAGAATTAAATTACCTTGCAATAGAGGAAGTTGGCTAATGCCTTCTTCCATATCCATTAGCAAAAATAAACTTCCATCATGATAGAACTAGGGGAAAAAGAATATGATCATAAGATGTAAAAACACCATCAAAATAAATGGTCATCAAGATTCCCGAATCATGATATTTAGCACCCAACAGACCTACATTGACAGAATAGGCAGCTGGAAACAAACCAGGATGGACAAGGCTTAATTCGTGTATGAGCTTTCTTAGACCTATCAGCAACATACCAATACAAAAGATTCTTATTATCAACAAAGGATAGAATACTAATGATGTCGACTAGAAAAGAAAATGATTCTAAATTTGATAGAAAAACCAGCACAATGATCACAAGGACTAGACCATGGTGTTTGGAACACAACAACAAACCTACATACACAAAACATAATTTTAGTATTTCTGGAACCTATTAAGGATACCACTCATTGTAAGAACTAGAAAAGGATGAAAAGTTTCTAGGAAATCATATGGACTTACAGAGCTGCAAGGGTCATCCATGTGTTGTTCTTTCTACAAATTACACCACATATTTCTGAATTAAATAAACCTCATCTGTTCAAAAGGTTTCATGTGAAACTGGCATGAGGCTTTTACCTTTTACCATGAAATGATCAGTGAATTAAGGATTTGCAAAAGAGGTCACATAGGGAAAAAGGTCGAATCCAGACCTAACAGCAAGAAAACTAGACAAAAAAGTTTTCATCGTGACTCAAACTGATCCAAGATGTTAAGATTTAGACAAGATAAAAAAAAGAAATTATGCAACTAAAAGCCTCATATATAATGATTAACCCTTGCAAACTAGCCTAGACAATGAGGCGATTATACACCAATGAAACGTCATAACTCTAATCTACTGGACTTCCATCACAAAATAACATATAAAGCTGAAACAGGGTTTGTAATTTTCACTTCACAAAAGATTACCGAGGGTATCCTCTTCACAATTTTTTTTTACAAAAGCAAGATTACACAAAGGGATTGACACAGGAGACCTAGTTGGAAACAAACCAGGATGAAGAAGACCTATTCGCATTGGAGTTTTTTTAGACCTACCAGCAAGAGAACAAGACAAAGATTCTTATTATCAACAAAGGATAGATTGCCAATAATCTTAACTAGAATAGAAATGATCTTAAAAATTATAGAAAAACCAACAAAATGATCACAAGGCACTAGACCATGGTGTTTGGCACACAACAACAAACCAACATACACAAAATGTGATTTTAGTATTTCTGGAACCTATAAGCAAACTAGAATGTTTAGAGAGAATGTTTAGCATGTATGAATACAAGTGTAACAAACTATGACCTGAACTACACGGAGCAACCGAATCATTGCTTTAAGGTCTTCTTGGTCAACTAGAGGAACTCCATTAGTTTCAACTGGCTTACTTCCACTTGACCTACAGGTAATGATCCCACCACTTCTATCCATGCCGGATCCAGCTCCTTCCCTTCTTTTAGAAGACCCACCCTCCTACTTCTTGGGAACATACCAAAAAGTGTCCAATTGTAACGACGTGCAAATCTCTCTCGCAACATTTTGCCTCCGCAACAAGAGCAGGTGTCAGATTAGCAAGAACCGCATCAGATGAAGTTAAAAGAACTTGAACATTTGAACAAACCAAAAGATCAAATAGATGATAACAAGAAACTAAAATTACAGGAAGAGAGAACATACCTATTCCCTTAGTTCTGAAGGGAATGTGGCTATTATTGATACAATATCCATCTCCACGGGTTGACCTTCCAATTCTTGGGCTTGGTGAGCCCCTTGTGCATGTTGCAGTGCCAAAACTTCTGCCCGGATGTCTGGAGGAAGTGTTGCAAGGAACTCATGGTCTATATCTCCATCATTTTGTGGTTCGATGGTTGCAGGTGGTTGTGGCGCCACCGGTCCCTGTTGGCCTAAAATAACTTCATCACGTAACTCTTTCGGAAGTGCATCCAGAAAATGCAGGGTCGATTGGTGCAGAACCACCAGCAGCAACATCACGTGGTGCATCCTCCACTTTGTTCTGTTTCTTGACTAACTAGGTGATTCTTGGGACTCGTTTTTCATCACCTGACCCTCCTCCACCTTGTCTTGATCAGAGGGCTTCTCGGGAGTTGGAAGCCTCAAATGAGAAACCAAAAAATCTTCAAGGCCTACAGGGATGCTGGATGCCTTAGACCCACCACTTTGCTGGTCATCATTCCACATGCTAAGACGGTGTCTATGCTATCCATGGCGGGCGTTCCTCAAAGACCTAAAAATCGAATCTAACCACGATGAGGATGACTCTAAATTTCTTTCAATATGCCCATCACGACCATTATCTACAAACACAAAAAACCAAAAACCAATTTAGTTAGTAGATAATACCTTATTTCTTGTTAGTATCTCTTCAGAATCATCATTCCCTACACAGACATTATTGTTTTTTATAATAATGTTCTTGATATGAATGAGGCATGAGTTGCAAGAGTTTACCAATTCTCAAGTTATCTTCAGCTCCAGTAGAACAAGATTGGATTGCATACAGAAAATTTTCTAGTAGATTATCATACAAACAAGAAGATGCAACTATCAAAAATCAAGGACATATATGAATCTATGTTGCCCTGAACAAGCTCTATAAGCCCTTTTAATTCTCTACTATCACTGAAGAAGTATCATCCTATATAGGGAACCATAGCCAAATATTTATGTACCCAAAGAACATAAAGAGTTTATGTTTTTGAATTTTGGATAAAAGATTGAAGCACAAACACAAGCAGACAGTGCTTACCTCTCCTAATTCCAAATAAAGTCCTGCAAGAGCTTCCATAGTAGCCACTAAACCAAATCATAGAAATAAAAATGAACTTAGTAAAATTTTGACACTTGATCAAACTGGGATACATGAAATGCATTCAGTGTTGTTGTGCATTACCTCTAAGATGGAAAGAAGAAACTTATAGGTCCTTAATGGTATTCAATTTCTCAAGAGCTTCAAGAAAGATGGCTCTATGAATAGAAAAAAGCAACAGATTAAATGGATGACTCAAATTTAAACGCTTCTACTTAGATAATTGAAGTAATACTCCCAATATAAAAAGGAGTATGGATTAAGAAAGGAAAAAATTACCTCTCAGACAAAAGGGTCGACATCGCAAAAAGAATAAATCCCTTAGAATTACCATCATGCTGATTGGATTCGCACTGTTCTAGCACCAACAAACCTTGCCCATATGATTCATCTACAGAACTCATACGTAAAAATGTGGATAGTAAACTGATAAAATAGGGTATTGAAGGGATTATTCGAAACGCACAACAAAGGGGGAAACTGACCTGATTCAAACATATAGATTCGAACACATTGAGAGATTTAGTAGCCCAAATTAAAACCTTGTCCAGTAGAGTCGATTTGAGAGTGAGTGTTGGATTTATTGCTTCCCTTTCCTGGTTCACTTACCCTTTGGTTACCCTAGTCGATCGATTCAAGCTTTCACGAAAAACCCTAGGTCACGACCGATTGAGACAAGAAGGATTGGGCGAAGGTAGGATTGGATTTGATTTCAAAGAGTAACAATATATTTCACTAAAAACCCTTTCATGGTTCGCTTGACCTTTGGTTACCTCAGTCGATCAATTCAAGCTTTCAATAAAAACCCTAGGCAGCGACTGAGAGAGACAATACAGTAAGGGAGGAGCATCAATAGTTAGGGCAAGAGGGGAGAAGTAGGCGGTAGGGAAAGGAGAAAGAGATGTTGGTGTGTTTTATTTTTTTAGGATTTCATTTCCCCCTGCTACTATTAAAGGATGGAACGTGCGTTCTATTAAAATTTATAAAGTGACATCATTAGACGACACACATTTTATTATAGGTGCCCGCCGTGTTTTTTTTGTTTAGACACTAATTTAAGGACACGCAATAATGCGTGACCTAAATCATTAAATTTTTTGAAGAGACATCACTTTTTTAATGTCACTCTCTTTTGCGTAACATAAATCAATGAGTGTCATGGTTTGCGCGTCGTAAAAGGCTGTTTTTCTAGTAGTGAGTCTGGGTTTTTCCTTTTGACTAATCTTAGGTGCTAACATTGATTATTATTATTCAACTTAGGAGGTTTCAGACTGTTAAGAGAGCAGCTTTTGTATTCAGCAGACATAGGTGAGTCTTCTCACCATACCCATGGGTCTAAGGCACCAAGGTCGGCTCATTATGTGATTATGATATATGTGTAGTCATTCTATGATTTGATATGATATATGATTGTGTGTTTTGCATGAAGACCCCGGGGGGATCCCATGGCATTGGATGTAAGACCATGTGGGGTAGCCCATGGCAGTCCTAGGTAAAGACCATGTGGGGTATCCCATGACATTGGATGTAAGACCATGTGGGGTAGCCCATGGCAGTCCTAGGTAAAGACCATGTTGGGTAGCCCATGGCATTGGATGTAAGACTATATGGGGTAGCCCATGGCAGTCCTTGGTAAAGACCATGTGGGGTAGCCCATGACACTCTTACAAGTTTTATGTATGCATGGCTTATGTGATATGTGTGTAGCTTTAATTAGCTAACAGCATATATATATGTATGTGTAGTGTGTGGTATGCTCTGGGGAACTCACTAAGCATTTCGGTTACAGGTTGTTTATTTTTTTCAGGTACATCTGAGCCCAAGGGCAAGGGCAAGGCGTGATGGCGCGACATGCACTCTATCTATCTTTTTCACTGATATGTTTGGGGATACTCTGATGATTTAAATAAAGATGTAATGAATGTTGTTTTGAAAAAAAATATGTTGGGATTTCATGGTTTATGCTAATGTGTTTTATTAATTAAAAATGAAAATTTTCTTTATAAAATTTGGATCGTTACACTTGTTGGCTACCACATCATGGCCAAGCACCTGCCACGATGTGGCATCCACAAAACAAAATAATCGTGAGAACCCCGATCGCCATGACGTGATGAGCATATCACCACGTCATGGGAACTGTTCCTGGACAACTTAATGTATTAATCCCTTAATCCATTAAACCACACACTCATCTTTTCCACAAGGCTTTCTTACACCCATAGACCTCATAAAAATGCTTTCTGTAGGGACATGCATGTCTAACACATGTCTTGAACTCTAGTTAGGCCAAAAATGGTGAAAATAAGGTCAAAACCTTATTCATAGAATGGGGTCCTGCACCTTCGACCATATAACATTTGGAATGGGGCTCGGTCAATACTAGCATGATAACTATTGTTGTACAAGAACTTTGCCAGTGGGAGATATGTGTCCCAACTCCCTCCAAAATCTAGTACGCATTCCCGAAGCATGTCCTCCAACGTCTGGATCGTCCTTTCACTCTGGCCGTCGGTCTAAGGGTGGTATGCCGTACTTAAATGTAGCTGAGTACCTAGTTCCTCGTGGAACTTCTTCCAAAATCTGGAAGTAAACCGAACATCCCTGTCAGAGACTACAGACATGGGCACCCCGTGTCTAGCCACCACCTCATGAATATAAATACCTGCCAACTTCTCTACGGATATACTCTCGGAAATCGGAATAAAGTGGGCGCTCTTTGTTAGTTTGTTTACGATTACCCATATAGCATCCACTCCCCTCGCCATCCTAGGAAACTTTGTGATGAAGTCCATGGTGATTTCCTCCCACTTCCACATGGGGATGGGTAGTGGCTGAACATTGCCATGAGGCCGCTGATGCTCAGCTTGACCTTCCTACAGGTCAAGCACCGCTCTACGAACTCAGCGATCCCCCGCTTCATGCAGGGTCACTAATAGCTCAGTCTCAAGTCCCTATACATTTTCATAGCTCCTAGGTATATAGAGAACTTGTACTTGTGCGCATCCTCTAATAACCTCTGCCTCACTCCCCCTGTCACTGGTACCCATACCCGACCACATTGCGTCAAAAGACCGCGACTATATTTAACAAACAAAGGATATTACCCTAGAATTTTCTCTACCTTCCAATTCTCCTTCTTTACCCCCTTGACCTGGGCCTCCCTGATCATATCCGACAAAGGTGAAATCACGGTCATCCTCATAGAAATGTCCCTAATCGGGGACTGCACCGTCTTGCGGCTCAACGCATCGCCCACCACATTGGCCTTCCCTGGGTGGTATAGAATCTCACAATCATAATCCTTCAGCACATCCAGCCACCTCCTCTTTCACATGTTGAGGTTTTGCTGATCCATCAAATTCTTCATACTCTTGTGACCAGTATACATAGTGAACCGCACACCATATAAGTATTGCCTCTAAATTTTGAGGGCAAACACCACTGCCCCCAATTCCAGGTCATGAGTGGGGTAATTTGCCTCATGAGGCTTCAACTGTCTCGAGGAGTAAGCTATCACATGCCCCCTCTGCATCAGTACCGCACCTAACTTTGAGATTGATGTGTCGCAGTACACCATCAAATCATCCAACCCCTCAGGTAGTACTAGAATCGGAGCCTCGCATAACTCCATCTTAGGGACTCAAAAGCCATCTGCTGATCCGCACCCCTCCAAAAAGTCACATTTTTCTTGGTCAAGCGGGCCAATGGCACAACAATCTTGGAGAAATCCCGGATAAATCTCCGATAGTAGCCCGCTAAGCCCAAGAAACTACGGATCTCTGATGCATTCCTCGGTACTTCCCACCGCATTACAGCCTCGACCTTGGCTGGATCAACCAAAATACCCTCTTGATTGATAACATGCACCAAAAACTGTACTTCCCACACCTCAGATCTGGAATGAGAAACTACTAAATGACCTCAGTGATCCATAAAGTTGCCAACTTTATGGAATTCACCCACTCAAACTAATCCATACATGGAGAAAAATGCATGAAAAACTAGATCTAGAAGAAGAGCACATAAAGATTTGAACTTGTAGACTTACAATGGTCAAGAATATGTGCAATAAGGTGGTGGAAGAACTTACTTTCTAGACCTATGCTCAAAAGAGACCTTCTTTTCCTTCAATATTACCAAAAACCACCAAGAAGCTTCAAAAACTCAAAAATGGAGGCTAGGGCTTGATTAGATCGAAAGGGAGACGATGGAGACTGAGAGGCGCTATCACATCCCTTTAATAGGACTTAAGGCCCAAAAACTAAGGTTTTACATGTTGGACGCCACCACGTTGTGACCAACATGATACCACATTGTGGTGCCTAAATGAAAGGTGCTATTCCATCGAGTGAGGCCACGTCGTGGCGAA